GGCGGGGGGACGACGACGGGGACCGTGGCCGTATCCTGACCCGGCGCTGCCACCCCGCAGGTTCCAGGAGAAGGGGAACCTGGAGGTCCTGCTCTTCACCATCCAGAGCAAGCTGCGGGCCAACAACCGCAAGCTCTACGTCCCCAGCGAGGGCAAGAGCATCTCCGACATCAATAAGGTGCCGGTGGGATGGAGGTGACCTCTCCATCCCGGGGGACCCCGGGGGTGGGGCCCCCCCTTCGACGAGCCCGGTGTCCCACCCCTCAGGCTTGGACCCGCCTGGAGAAGGCAGAGCACGAGCGGGAGGTGTCGCTGCGCAACGAGCTGATCCGGCAGGAGAAGCTGGAGCTGCTGGCCCAACGTTTCGACCACAAGGCCGTCATGAGGGAGACGTGGCTGAACGAGAACCAACGCCTGGTCTCGCAGGTGGGGTGGGGTGGGGGGGTTTGGCGGGGACCCCCCCCCCCCCCGCTCGGGCGGGGGGGCGCGGGGGTGAGGCGGGACGCCTGGGTCCTCTCCCCGGCTGGGGTGGGGGGTGAGGACCCCAACGCTTGGGTGGCGGGGTTCTCCCGGCTTGCCTCCTTGGGCTCCCTCGTTGACCGGGGAGGGGGTCCACCCTGCCCGATGGCGTCTCCTCCCACCCCAGGACAACTTCGGCTATGACCTGCCGGCAGTGGAGGGCGGCATGGAGAAGGATGAGGGCAAAGAGACATCTCCTCCTACCAAGAGCGCATCCAGGTGGTGGTGGAGCTGGCCCTGGAGATGGAGTCCGAGGGCTACTACGACACCAAGCGCATCAGCGCCCAGAAGGACAACATCCTCCGGCAGTGGGGGCTGTTGACTGAGCTGGTCCGCGCCCGCCGCGCCCGCCTCGAGCAGAACCTGGCCCTCCAGAAGATCTTCCAGGAGATGGTCTACATGATTGACTGGATGGAGGAGATGCAGGTAGAGCCGGGGGCACGGCGAGTACCGGGCATCCCCATGGAGGACGCGGTGGGCAGCTCGGGACCCCGCGGCCTCCTTCCCCAGGTGCTGCTGGTCTCCAAGGATTTGGGGAAGCATCTTCTGGAGGTTGAGGACCTGCTGCAGAAGCACGGGCTGCTGGAGGCCGACATCTCCGCCCAGACCGAGCGGGTGCAGGCGCTCAACGCCGCTGCGCTCAAGTTCTCGGAGCTGGAGGGTAACGTGGGGCACCGGGACGGGCGCCACGAGGCCCCGGGAGATGCTTGGCCTCGGGAGGGGTCAACCAAGGTCTTCGGGGTGCCGTAGACCGTCTCCGCTAAGGTCCGGTTCTCTTGCTCCAGGCTACCAACCCTGCGACCCCCAGATCATCTGCAACCGGGTCAACCACGTCCAGACGTGCCTGGAGGAGCTGGGGGAGCTGGCGGGCAAGAGACGCAAGGAGCTGGAGGACTCCCGCCAACTCTGGGCCTTCTTCCAGGAGATGGAGGAGGCCGAGGCGTGGATCCGCGAGAAGGAGCAGATCCTGGCCGCCAAGACCTGCGGCCGGGACCTGAGCAGCGTCTTGACGTTGACCAACAAGCACAAGAGCATGTTGGGCGAGCTGGGCAGCCGACGGGCGCTGTTGCACCAGGCCATGAAGAGGGGCGAGCAGATCTTGGCCAAGAAACGCTTCAGCCCCGGCGGGATCCAGGAGAAGATGCGGGAGGTTCGCCTCCGCTGGAAGAAGCTGGAGGAGGTGACGGGGTTGCACCAGCAGCGCTTGCAGGAGGCCCTCAACTTCTTCCAGTTCAGCGCCGAGACGGACGACTTGGTGGCCTGGTTGCAGGACACCTACCGCATCGTCTCCAGCGACGACTTTGGCCACGATGACTATTCCACCCAAGCTCTCCTGCGGAAGCACCGGGCGGTGGTGGAAGAGGTGGAGAAGCACCGGGCGGCCGTGTTGGCCCTCCGGAAGCAGTTGGCTCTTCTGGCGCCCGAGCATCGTCAAGGGGTTGACGTGCAGATCCGGGTGGTGGAGGTGGAGCAGCTCTACGGGGAGGTGGCCGAGGTGGCCGTGCTGCGGCAGCAGTGGTTGCAGGACGCCTTGGCCGTCTACCGTATGTTCAGCGAGGTGCACGCCTGCGAGGTCTGGGTGGACGAGAAGGAGCAGTGGTTGGAGAGGATGGAGGTGCCGGAGGAGCTGGATGAGGTTGAGGTGGTCCAGCATAGGTGCGTGGTGGGGGGCGGATTGGGAAGGGGGCCGGCCGGCCTGGGTCCCTTTGCCCCACCGTGGACCCGCCCCCGTTCCCATCTCCTCCCCAGGTTTGAGAGCCTGGACCAGGAGATGAACAGCGTCATGGGACGGATCTTGGACGTCAACCAGGTGGTGCAGCAGTTGGTGGACGGGGGCCACCCCAGCTCGGAGGAGGTCCGCTCCTGCCAGGACCACCTCAACAGCAGGTATCGGCGCGGGGAGGGGGGGGCCGAGCTGTGGGGCCCAGCCCATCCTGGGGGTCAGCGATGCCCAAGGTGGACCTCATCCCGCCCGGGGGCTCCTGGGCGGGGGGAACCGCCCGTGGGGCTGGTTGTAGACTCCAACCCCCTGGTTCTCCCCGGGCTGGAGGCTCTAGCCCTATGGAGTCCCCAGACGGGTGGGACGTCCCCGTGGGGCTCCTTGGTGCAATGGGCTGGGCCTCTGATGCTGCCGGCCTGGTGGGACGTCCCCGTGGGGTCCAGCTCCTTGGCGCAATGGGACAAGCCCGCCCCAAGCGTCGGTGACGCCCAAGCCGGACCTCGTCCCGCTTGGGGGCTCTTTGGTGGGGGGACCCGTCTTGTGGGGCCGCTTGCAGCCCCCAACCCCGCTGCGCGGCCAGCCTGGTGGGACGTCCCTGTGGGGTCCAGCTCTCTGGCGCAATGAGCCAGACCCGTCCTGGGGGTCCACAATGCCCAGGCTAGACCCCATCCTGCTTGGGGGGCTCCTGGGACCCGTCCGTGGGGCTGCTTGCAGACTCCAACCCTGTGGTTCTCCCAGCCTGGTGGGACGTCCCCGTGGGGTCCGGCTCTCCAATGCGATGGGCCAAACCCGTCCCCAAGGATTGGCGATGTCCAAGCTGGGCCCCATCCCGGTGGCGGTGCCGGCGCGGGGCTCCGTCCCGGGCTCGGCCCACCTCCGTCCCCATCCCCAGGTGGAACCGGGTGGTGGAGCTGGTGGAGCGCAAGAAGGGCCAGCTCAGCTCCGTCCTGAAGATCCAGAACTACCTGCTGGAGTGTGGCGAGATGAAGGCGCAGGTGCGGGAGAAGAGAAAAGCCATCGAAGCCACGCAGTCCGGTGGCGGCGACCTGGGCGGCGTCTTGGCCTTGCAACGCCGCCTCTCCACCATGGAGGCGGCTCTGGTGGTCTTGGAACCTCGGTTGGTGGAGCTTCAGCGGGAAGGGGAAGCCTTGGCTGCCTCCCACCCCGGCAGAGCCCTGGAGATCCTGCTGCCCTTCGAGCAGATCAGCGAGGAGTGGGAGGCCCTGAAGCGGGCGCTGCAAGGTTGCGAGGACTCCTTGACCGTCGCCGGTCGCTTGCAGCAGTTCATCCAAGACTTGGACAACTTCCTCGGTTGGTTGGTGAAGACTCAAGCGGCCGTCGCCTCCGAGGAGGTGCCCGATAGCTTGGCCGAAGCGGAGAGGTTGTTGAACCAACACGCGGCCCTCAAGGAGGAGATCAACGGCTACGAGGAGGACTACGCCAAGATCCAGGCGGCCAGCGACCTGCTGGCCTTGGAGGAGACGGAGGTCCCCTACCTCTCGTTGCAGCAGTGGTTGCAGAAGCTGGACGCGGGCTGGGGCAAGCTGCTGCAGAGCTGGGAGACGCGGCGAGAGGTGCTGGTGCAATCTCACGTCTTCCACCTCTTCCTCCGGGATGTCCAACAATGCGAGACCAGCCTCTACAACCAGGTAGAGACGGGCGGGAGAAGGTCTCGCTTGACCTTCTGGTTGACTTGGGGAGGATGGAGCAAGGAGAAGAGGCGACCGGGGACGGAGAGCCCCGACGCCAGCATCTCCTCCATCCCTTCTCCAGGAGTCCACCCTGGTCCACGCCGAGCTCCCCGACACGGTGGAAGGGGTGAACAACGCCATCAAGAAGCACAAGGACTTCACCACCACCATGGACCTCAACCTGCAGAAGATCCAGCTGGCCCTACAGGCCGGCGAGAGCCTCC